GGTGGGGCGCGACCCGCGGGGCCCCCCCCCGGCCACTTTGGCCGGGGGACCCTCTGAGGAGCCTGCTGGTGTCACCCCAGCGGGCTCCAGCGGTGGAGTTGGGGGGTCCCACAAGTCGTACCCCCCCCCAGCATTCCCCCTGTGGGCGCTGCTCTTGCCTGGGTGAGGGGCGCCCTGCACATTGCTGGGAGTCGCGCAGTGCTTCACAGCCCAGGAGCCAAAAATCACTGGTTCATGCAATCCTGCTGTTAATTTGAGGGAGGCTGCATCCCGCGCTGCGACAGCGATGCATGGGTTTGCTGTGCTGGACAGCCATTTAACAGCAATTGTGCTACACGGCATAGGGTAGCATTGTTTGTGCACTGATGTGAAGTGAGTAAATAAACAGTGACAAAAAGCCTCTGTCCTCGTGGTTTCACTTCCAGCCTAATGGAGAAATAAATGCATTTCTGTACCTAGGGCTCTGCTGACTTTGATGTTTGCAGCAGGACTTCAGGCAGCTGCTTTGCCACGAGCAGCATGCTGGGGGGGGGGGCTGGTCCCCAGGCACGGGGGCGTTTCTGGCCCCAGCACATCCCTGGCCCAGTCATCACCTCTGGGGCTGCAATTTGGCCAACTGGCCCCACACATCCCTCCCTTGGGGTATCAAACACCACCGGCTCCTGCCCAGGGCCACCCACCTCCCTGGGCAGTTTGTCCTTGCTGGGGAGCCCCACAGAGCATCTCTCCCTCTGTTTGTCCATCTCCCGCAGTGAGAAATCCCCATCGTGCCCTCCAGCATGCTGCCGGGGTGCTTGCCGGCCCCACTGCCGTTCCAGCAGCACCATAACACCTCAGCTGTGCCGCCGCCATTCCCACTGCTGGCCCCCACACGCAAGCCAGGCTAGGCTTCGACACGCTGGAGCTGTGCCACCGGTGGTGCGCAAAATTAATCACTGTTTATGCAATTGCAGGTTGCTTTTTCTATCTGAGAAACTGCTAAAACGGGTGCGCTTGGCAGCACACTGGAGCAAATGGCACGGTGGGAGCAGCGTCAAGCCTCATGGGGAGAGGTGCCGCCCTCAGCATGCATGGGAGGGGACTTGCTGCTGGTGCTGCGCCCATGCTGGGAGATGGGGTGGGAGCATTACGATGGCAGCAATGTACCCACAGAGCGCCTGCTCCCCTGCCCTCTGCACGGCCGCATGTGGGGAAGGGGCAGGTCCAATTTCGGGCCATAGACTTGGTTCTTAGGGATCGTGCATGGGTGATTGATGCTGGGACCACCAGTTCAAGGATAACACTGCGTATCTCACTGGTGCTATCAGTAGCACCAGCTGTCAAGGCTCTGCCTTGCTAGAGCTCATGCTTTTTAGCGGAAAGGATCAAAAATTGCATGTGCCCACTACGCCCCACACCAGGGCATCAGGCCCCGGTGCCCCCAGGGGAGCCACGCTAGGCAGCCTCGTGCCAGTGCTGTGGGGACATGGAGATTTAAGCAGCCTGGGGCAGGGGTTTGCCTGCAGCTTCCCAGGCGTGAGGCAGCATCCGCAAGACCCCAAAGGCTCAGGTACCTCCTGTGCCAGCCCACCCAGCTCAGAGTGAAAGAGGCTGCAGGGCTGCTGGCAGCCTGGGCTGGGCAACTTGCCCCTGGAATTGCCACAGCATGTCACACCCCAAGTCTGATGGACTATGGTGATGCTCCAGGGAGCTCAGGCTCGGCATATGCCGTTGCCTGGCAAATGAAGGTGTTGGTTTTGGGGGCTGGGACTGGCAGGTTTGCAGCCCCGTGGGGACCCGGGCGTGGTGCCCAGCCATCTCCATCCCCAGTCCTGACTGCATCCTTGTCCACGCCATTAAGCAACATCCATAAGCAAGGCCTGGGCACCATCTAGTGGAATAAAAAGGCTTTTGCTGGGAACGTTTTGTGCCTGTTGAATGATGCCCAGCTCCGCCTGGTGCCAGGACAGGCACTTCTGCCCTCTCACCCCTCTGCTTCCCCGAGCTCCCGGGGAACCATGCTTGAACGGTGAGGTCGGGTATAAAACTGACTAGTTCAGGTATAAATGGCCTGCATTTATAAACCAGCACTACCTCCTTGCACAGCTGCTGTTAAAGCACCTGGAAGTTTTGTGCGGTGACTCTGGCTCTACATTCTGGGGCATGCGGCATTTTGGGATGCTGAGCCTGAGCCCCCTCCTCACCACTACTGAGGTGCCTTGCTCTGCTCTTCCAAAACTCGCTTGCCAAATAGCACAAGCGGCCACTGAACAGACAAACTGCAAGTTTCCCGAGGAAAGGGTTTTCCTGGAGTACTGGAGCAAAGTGAGGAGGTGGTTTTTCCTTGCAGTGAAGGCTGGGCTGATGAGCACTGGCGGGATGGGAGCTGGCAGGGTGGCTTGCTGCCACCCCTCACACCCCAACACTCACAGTAAACTTACAGCTGGGCTAGAGGTGGCCACCGGGTCTGGGAGGTGTTTCTCTGTGGCTCTTTGGTCTTTGTCTCTGCTGAGCTGTGTATTTTTTGGGAAAACTTTAATTTCAACCTTTAATATATATGCATTTGCTTCCTGTTCCCATATGCTGGTTTTGGTTTTTTTTACTGAAGGGCAGCAGTGATTTATCAACAGGCATTTCTTCATGTGGGGACAACAGAGGCTGTCGCTGAAGTGCTTTAGGGTCTCTCATCCCACCCTATAAGTGCGCGAACCCAAGTGAAGAGTGATATGCACACTAGAGTACTTTCTGGGGGTACAGAAGGGGAAAGAAATTGTCCCTAAAAATCCCAGCCTCCCTTACAAATACTAATTGTGGGGACATGGCCAGGTGAGTATGGGTGGTTGTTTATTCAGGTAAATATCGTGCTTAGAGGAGAAACATCTGCTATTGTGGGCTACCACTGATTTCTAGTGCCTAAAAGCCCTTGCCCATGAGGTGCAGAGGGTTTTGTGCAGCAGCCGTGGCAGTGGAAACCACTCAGATTTTGCAAAAATGGATTTCTGTTAACGTTACTTTTGCACATGGGCCAGCGTGTGCAGCAGTACTGGAAAAAGCAGGTGCTGGGTTAAAAGGGGGTCAGCTCCCCCATGAGTCAGGTGAGCCAGATGAGGGGAGAGTGAGCCATGATCCCTAATTGGGGATTGCCACAGCAGGCCAGCTGGACAAGGCTCAGGTCAGGTCCTTTCCCCAAAGCACACACAGCTGCAAAGGTTTTCCAGTAATGTATCTTGCAGCAGCATCCTCATTAAGGAAACCTGCT